GATTCATAGCCGCGCCGGCAGTCAGTACTGACTGTTTGTCAGTCTGTGTATGACATCCTTTCGATTACGCCAATAGCTAAGAGTTCATGCCTTACAGTAAATAGTTATCATGTTGCTTGCCTTCATTAGACTTACAACGTGGAAGTTGAAATAACATCGTAATGGAACTTTGACTATAGAAAAAAGGACTAGGCAAAGTTCGATTCTTGTACTGATTGAATTCTACCACTGTTCACGTTGACACCTTCGTCTTTATAAACGCTCACTGAAATTTCCACATTTACGAATATTAAACATTTGAGTAACTGATCGTTTTGTAACGAGCATTCAGGCAAACAAAAATTAGAGTTTAGCCCCATTCTCACGAATGCTTTTTTTAACGCTTGATAAAAAACGTTGTTATAGAATATGTGACGCTACTTTATCGCGCAATTTGCAGTTTGCACTCTGGACAAACGAAAAAGAGTGATTTTATGCGTTTCTATGAGCGTAAGCCTTAAAAAAGCTCTAACATAGAGCGTACACAAAACGAAGGTGTGGATGAGGAATAAATATTTATTTGTCAAGGAATATCGAAGAGTGAGTCCTGTTGTTTAATCATCAAGGTATTGGATCAACAGTACTAAATGTAATCAGTTAATATTCGTTATCGATTTCAAGTAATACGAGTTTGTGATACAAGTTTGGTATTTCTTACTATATCGTAATTGATCTTAATTGATTATTACACTTAAAGTAAAATTAATATTAATTAACCAATTTAAACTAGAAGGTAAATTTGCCTGAAGGCTAAGTACCGGCAAAGATTTATAGTGTTTTTCCGTTTAGAAATAATTAATTGGATTTTCTTGTTTTTCTCTCACGTACAATTTTATTAATTTTTACTTAAATACTAATATTTAAATTTTCACTTCATTATACACAAAAGTACTTATGTAACTTTAACAATAACTATAATATGTTACTAAAGGAATTACTAATTTTTTCAATAAGAATCTTATTCAATGCTCTAGCTTACTACTTACTAATATTATAAATGCGAAAGTTTAGATGGATGGATGGATAGATGGATGTTTGTTAGCGTCTGTAGCCTAAACGGCTGAACGGATCTCCAAGAAATTTGGCACAGGTTTAGAGCATAGTCTGGAATAACACATAGGCTACTTTTTATCCCGGGAATAGTTACGGTTCCCGTGGGATTCATTAATTTAGTTTTTTAATGTTTACTCGATCATTCTGCAACGGTTCAACATATCTTATTGAAATTTAGCACAGATATAAAACAAAGCCTGGAGTACACATGGGATAACCTTCATCCCCGAGAAAGTCCGGTTCCCGAGGGATACGTAGCTTTTTGTATATTTATATAGTTTGTATGTTTTCTAATACCACTCCAACGAAGTCGCGGGCAACAGCTCGTAGTAAATATATGTAAGGCATTTCCTCGTTGAATCATTTCTCTTTATTTAAAAAGTGGAAAAACTAGCTGCTAATGAAAGACTCGACCTAGAATTTTAGAAACATAAATAATTATTTTCTCTACTTTGATTGAGTAAAAGTATTTAGAAATTTGAATTGTGAGAAATTGCAAATGCCGTCAATGTCATTCCAGTGCGTAAAAGATTTTTGCTATTAAAAATTCTGTAATAAATCTAGTTATAATATTATACAAGAGCTGCCAAATTTAAAGATGTAAACCGAAACATTAATACCACATCTTTTTAATACCTAGATACTAGCTTATGCCCGCGACTCCATCCTCGTGGGAAAAAACAATAGTAACCTATGTATTATTTCAGACTATGTTTTACATCTATACCAAATTATACCGAGATCCGATCAGCAGTTTAAGCTTCAAACTCTAAGGAACATCCATCGGTCCATGCAAACTATCGCATTTACATTAGTCAGGTTAAGAAATGCCTCTTTTCAGTAACCAATAAGATACAATTTTTATTCGATAATTTAAGAAGATTTAAAATGAAGAATTTAGCATTGATAGGTTACAATGCCATATTCTTTTGACAATTGGGTTAGTGACACCAAATGCGATATTTCATGTCTAGAAATCTACTGAATAATAATTTCATTGCCACTATTTTGATTTGAACAATATTTCATAGTTCATTTGACGCACTTGGTTTTAAATGTTAGAGACATTCCTTTTGGATTATTCTTGTGTGTGAATTAAAAAAAAAACACAAAATTGAGTAGCCCATGCGTTCTTCCAGCTTATCCTCTACATCTGTACCAAATTTCATCCAAATCCTTTCAGTCGATTAGGATACAATCTCACAAACAACCATCCATCTAAACTTTCGCATTTATAATATTAGTGTGATGTATAAATAGATAATTAAAGAGAACATATACAATATTAATGTATTTATTCTCGATAATCATATATTCCTGTTTATGTATACATGTCCGGTATGATGTATGTAGGACACCAGATTTAATATAGTAAACGGGATACACTATTATAGTTCAAACAGCGGTATAGTATTGTTGCGTAAATTTATACAGGATTTCCTTTTATTCTTCACTTCTCAACGTAATAAGAAAGGCATGTTCCTGTGTGTTCTTAAATCTTCTATCTTACGGTATAAACAATAATTAGTTACTTCAATTTAACATCTGTATTATGGAAATTTTTCTGTCACTCTTCTGGCACATCTGATTTGGCCCTCTCCTATTCATGCATTTCCTTTAATAGTATGTAACCAATTTGGTGCTGTCTTTTTTAGAGAAGAGACTACCTGCGATGTTTTCGACTCCCGTGGACAATTTTAACCAAAGGAACTACAGATATGTTGCCGGCCTTTAAGAAAGTACGCTCGCCTTTGAAGGACTCGAAGTAGCGGTATAGTTGAAGACAAACCATTCCATAACACGGCTTCTAAATAAACAAACATGGATACTGAGAAGTTAATAATAGTTGGTATGTATAAATGAGTAATATTAATTTGTGCGCTGACAAGCACCAGAGTGGCACGCGCTTCTACATTTGACGACTTGTTGATGGCTGCGTGGACCTCACACGTTCGAGAATTAGCCTAAATACAAACTTGAATCATAAGAATAATACACACGGACTACGTACGTACGATACTAAATAAATAGTACGTATATTCACATACCTATATTTATGATTATCTGAAAAAAATATGTATCTTTTTGATAAAAATATGTATTTTGTATGAAATATAATATATTCACAACTTAAATGGTAATAGAAGTTTAAAAAAATTGTGCCAACTATACGGGAATGTTTTTCTCCTCGTTTTTTGTTTCTTTTCCTCTTATTAATGTTAATTCAAGAGTATTATTATACTGTAAAGTATTTTTATTTTAAAGTATACTTTCCCAAGAACCTTTTACTGTTTGGCCAAAAAAATTTCATTTATTCCCAAACATTTTTTTTAAATATTTTTGTTACATTTTATTGTCCAGTAAACAGACATTTTTTGAATTAGTAAATTCAATTATATAATATCCTATAGGAGCCCTGCCAGTGTAGATAAAGTGATGCGACTGATGACATCAGCGTCTGGGACGACCTTCCGTCTAATGACACTTCTTCTCATGGCAGCGACTTACTACAATAGTGTTTCTCAAACTTTTAATACCCATTACAGGAACGACCTCCAAGCCTGACGACCACTCCACAAAACATATAAACAAAGTTCATAATAAACAGGATTCTTATCACGATTGGGTTTTTAAAGATCTCGATATATCGATGCAGTTGCAAGAGTCATGGCCGTGGGATGGACCCCAGTCCCGTTTAATAACTTTATCTTTGGAAAAAAGTAAGTAAAAAGTTTACAAAGCCCGCTACACACGATCGTTGACTTTTCGTTTGTTCAGTAATAACATGTGACAGATTTATAATTAGCTAATGCTTTTTAGCCCAATACTCGTATTATTTGTAGGTTTAGTTGCCCCCTGGTATAGTCGCAGAGGCATTGGGGGTCAGTGTCACTTTGAGAAGCAATGAACCACAGTGAACTGATTTCAACAACTCCTATTTCGTCGTTCAGACGTACGCATTGCCTACGTGACCTGCTATACTAAACAAATTTATCAATCAACTAGCTTATTTATTTTCCATTACACCAGATTACACTTATCTCGTTATCTTTTAATAGTAACTAAAAATCATGGTTACATCAGAGGGTGTTTTAGATTACAGTTTTCGTGTAATTACGTGGTTTTTCCCTCATTTTGCAAGACATTTTTTTAATATGCAATAACGGCTGCGTTGCCTACCCTTAGCCGACGGAGGAGGAAGACGAAAGGATGGAAAGGAAAAGTGGATTTGACGGTGGAGGAGATGCATAGAAAGGGGAAATGTCCTCTTTTATGTGGGTCTCCACCTCCGTAAATTAAGGGTAGGCAACGCATCTGCAATTGCGGATGTTTATGGGCAGCGGTTATGCGGTGTCTCCTCCAACGTAAAATCCACGTTCCCTTTCCATACTTTTCTTATAAGACAAAAGGTGGGAAGGAAACGGGACCAAAGTTGGGCCTGCGGCACCATACTCATCAAACAAAACGCGGAGTTGCTCCCACTTCACGCCTGTCTTCTGTGTGGTCGTGGTATTTTAGCGTGCGAGACGTCTTGTTCGTGCGAAGATGTTAAAGTGGGCTCAACCATTTTTGTTTTGTTTCTATGTGTGTTGTGGGTTGAGATCGATTATTGTTCGCATAAAATCGGAAAAGCTTGTCACATGAGATCAAAGCATTTGTCTCGATTGTAATTTGTAATGTTTTCGACTAAAACAATATGTTACTCTTAAACGTGGACGTTAAACATTTTTATTTGTACTTTTTACTGACGAGGAATGTATTTTCATTGGTAAAATTCCTTCTTTTATATTGTTGTTAAATTTTCGAAGTTTTAAGAGTTCGTTGATCTTTACAGTGCACATAAAGTCCTTATAAATTACTTTTTTTCTGTTTTATTAAATTTTGGTTTTAATTAAGTCTCTATGTTAATTAAGCTATTACCGTAGAATTTTTCCGACGAAATTGTACTTACGTACTAGGATAGGAGGATAATATTGTTATATATTCTTTTGTTATTTACGCAACTATTTAGGTAATATTTGTTACTGCAATGATTTTTATTTAATTTGGTTTGAGTTTACAGTTGGGTTTTCCATAATTTAATAATACTGATTAAATGAATGACTAATTTTTACACCAATAACATATTGAATCAGTAATTTTAACTATTAAATAAATACTTTTATAGCCTTTTGCGGTGACTTTGGATATCAGTAACCAACAAAGTTTCAACAATGTATGATTGTTTTTAGTAACTTCGAAGGACAATCAACATTAATATTTATTTAAATTATTATTTTATGATATGAATAATTCTAGGGTACATTCTCCATTTGTACATTTCATTAAGATCAGTATGCTGTTTTGAATATACGTGGTAACAATCATCCATCCAGACTTTCGCATTTATAATGTTGGTATAAGTATGAAGTATGATGTAGAACATTGTAAACCTTCCAAACGTCCATGTAACGAATATGGTGAATTCTTAAATCGTGTCAAGGATAAACTAATGTATAACTAACTACAAATATAGCACAAAATATCATTCAGAACCCGGATTTAGAAACCAAAACAATTTGCATGTAAATTTTAAACAAGTCTGAATTATGTATAGCGAAAATTATTGTTATCATCTTTACGTCGCGTCGCAATTTTATTGGTTAGTTTTCAAGCTAAGTAATTATTTAAATTTATACCTTCCCCCCTTTAATACTGAACATTTTCATGTCCATGGAGCTGAAACAGGAACAAGGTTCTTTTCATTCTATACTATTGGATTAGTGTGGTGACTAAGATGACGGTTGATAGAATTATTTGGAGGGCGGAAACTTCTTACATTCAAAAATATCAAATTTTTTTTAAATAACTGATGCACCTACATATGATAGACGAACGAACATACAATAGTGCACACAAGTGCAGTGAGCGCAGCACAAGTACAGTCGGAGACATAATTCAATTTTCAATTGACATTCCGAATTGGGTTTAATTGTAAGGGCTCCGTCTGCAGAGTACCTACATCAATACATAAATATAGTGCAATTCGGGAAAAGTATAGACTGAGTATAAAAATATTAAAATTGGAGTCGGGGAGCGGAGTCAGTTGTTGCGCGCGCGCAGTCAGCGACTCAGTGGCTCGGTAGTCGTCGCGCGGTACAGTCACGTCGACAAGTCGCTCCGTCAAACTCTCCCGATAATTCCGAACGCATTCACGATATTTATGCATCCATGATAAATTTTAATCAACGATTTATGTACAATCGAATAATTTGTAACTAGAAGATCCTTAACAAAATTTTAATATTAGTAAAGGAATCAAATTACATATTATCAAACACGTGGGTATATATAGTAAGCGCGAACACGGTATCGTCCGGATCCACGTTTTTCACTGCTAGTGAATAAATTAGCAGCCGGCTCGTCTCGCGTGAAATTTCACTTTTTGCCGGCGAGGATCGTCTCAACATGTCAACGAGAACGAGATATGAACCAAAATGGAACTATGAATCGAGTAAGTACAACTAATTGTGAACTTGTAACATCTGAATATAATTAGAAAAATCGAGTAGATAGCGGAAAATATTCGTTGAAGCTAAATAAATCTAAAAATGAACACCGCACACTTCACAAATAATTTCGACTTACAGAAATGAAATATTTAGATATTAAAATGTTTAATATGGAGATTTAGATAAAACGGGTTTTTAAATAAAATAAATAACTGATATTGTACATTTCGAAATGTCAAAAAACTGTTTGATAATTTTTCCAATTACCTAAATGTTTCATTAAAATCTACAGCAGTTGTGTTAACAATTTGATTACCTTTTAAAAATTAGTTTCCAAACTTATTTGTTTTTTAGTTTCTATCGTGACACAATTTTAAATTCAGCTGAATACATATTTGTAGTCTTCGTACTATTACTAGTTATAATTATTTATTTATTTAACTGTATGTATTCTTTATTTAATAAAAATGTTAAACTAAAATACATGGCCATCTGTAAAACCTTAATCTATTTAGATGAGATTAAAAATAATTAATTAACAATAGAGTTTTTAATTTTTTTTAATATTTGTAGCTTAAAAAATAAAGATGCGAGTTATGATTAAAGTAATCGATGTTCTAATTTTAAATCCAATTTTATAGTTTCTGAACGTTAGTGCTATGGGTTAAAATTGGCGCCATAAATAACGACAACCAGTTCAGATAATTGAAGATATAGAATACAACGCGATGTTTTCTTATTGAAAACTTATCTATTTATAGAGACTGCGCCTACAAATTACACTTAGGTTATCGAACGTTATTTGACCTAAGGAAAAAACATAACAATAAAAAAAAATTGATAAAACTGATCGAGAACTTTGAATAGTAATTTTTATCTACTTGAGTTATAGTTACTGATATTAAGTTCATTCATTATTTTAGTTTGAGATATAAAAACTCTTATAGAGATATATAGTCTTTCATTTGTCGATTTTAGAAATTTCATATTGTATTGTAAATGACGACACGGGCAATTTCCACCAACAAAAAGCTTTAGTAGACGTTTTTCCACCTCAGTTTTATATTAAGAATTGTGTATTTACAGTTTAATAACGATTTTTTCGATTTTTCGAATTTTCATATGTACATAATTTACCTAACGTTCTTACGGTGAAGGAAAACATCGTGATGCAATCTGCACATATCGGCAAAAATTCAAAGATATGTGTGAAGTCAACCAACCCGCAGTGGGCTAGCGTGGTTGACTATGGCATAGTCACCCCTTACTTAGGGTAGGCTCCGAGCCCCTCGGTGGGCACGTATAGTGCGCTGGTGATGATGACCTATGATTTTCGTATATGTATAATTATCTAGTATAGTACGTTGAAATTCAAAAGACGGAAACTTGGATATTTTGGGGTGAATGACTCGTGTTTCAGAAGTGTTAATTTCGTTTTTTGTCACATCAGCAATTGTTTAACTACTAGCAACTGTAGATTTTTGTTAAACCGAAGTGCAAATTGTTCCAAAAATTTCATGAGTGAGTTTACGAAACGCATCGATTTCTACGAAAGGCAATTAATATTTGGCGTGTTCTATAATTTCCGAGCAGCATCTTTCATTAATTGGCTTCAATTTAAAACCTTTTAGCGCCTCATGTGCAGACAGAGCCTCATATTGGGTAACCGTGCCATTTATAGTCTGAAAAATGTGGGTTGTATGTTAGTCTCGCTTATTACTGACTATTTATATCAATTAAAGTGTCGTTGTTAATTTCCGCGATACTTTCTTGAGAGCTATTTCGTTTAAAGTCCACGAACGAATGGCCTCAATCGAATTTGTTTAACGACTTCTCTATCGGGCTATTGCAAACGTAATTGCTGGAGCGTATTTCAATTCACAGACAGACATTGATAACTCCGTTGATGATTATGAAGCAAATTGTTACTTTATATGGTGGAATAACCAAAAAAATATTGGGTACTTTAGTAGGATCATGGTAACAGATGAGATGCTCTATAATCAATAGCATTGCGTCATTGATATGGTCTAAATGGACTGTAGCAATAAAAGTAGCCCTCACCGTGAACCCGCTTCGGATCCGTGGCCCCGCTGAAGGCCGCTTCACAACACGGCTGCGTTAAAAATAGGGTTGCCACTGTTGTGTACATCGCAATATTTAACAAACGATAAAACAGTTGAACACAGTTTTTACGAAACATATTCGAATTTAAAA